TCAAAGAAGGTGCATCATTTAACCCCTTCAGCATTATTATTATCAGTAGTTTCAGAACTACCTTGTTGAAGTCATGCACAATACCTCTTTTTTTCTCTGACCAGGATTGTGAGAGAAAGTGATATATAGAGAAAAAAAAAAAACAGATCAAGCAGTAGCATTCTCACATTTCATGTCAGAACAACCTGGCAATTGCTGTCACAAGACTTCAATAAATTCACATGAATTTCTGCCCCATTTTTTTTTCTTGAGTAAAAAATATGACTACAAACTTTACTGAATAGAGTCATTTTTCAACAAAAGTCTCTAGGACATACGCTGAATCAGTATTAAGTCACTTCTCACACTACTGAAGAACAGTGTTCTTTACTACTGAATTACTGAATTGGATAGAAAGCAAAACAATGGTTTTCCACATGGATTTTCTTTACTGTGTGGAGTACAGACAGTAGCAAACATCTAGCATTCAATTTGTTCTTAGGTAAATGATAAAAATGAGTCCAAAAGACAAGGTGTATGCCCTCTGTCACTGATGTGAGAACAGGACAACTGGTTGCAATAGATAATTGAGCGTATGTAGTATTAACTTCTAAAATGAATTTCTTAAATGAGGAAAGGAATAAAAGGCTTATGTCATAATGTTGATGTAATAACTTTGTTTTCATGTAAGGTTACCATAAAAAAAAATCTGGAAACTGAACATTTTCTTTAAAATAATCTGTCAAAATAACAACTTAGACTTAGCGATGGCTCTGTTTGCAGCCATTTTCACTCTTATAGAATTCATCTGATTCAAGCATTTCTTGTAATTTTAAATAGCTTTGAATGTGTTCTGGCCTGAGGAGTCTGAGTAATGTTAATAGAAGAAGCACATGTGCACTGAAAGGACACTGACTCTCCTTGATTATAAATATATACTTTTAATCTTGCATAATGGTATACCGAATGTGTTTAAAAAAATAATTAGTGTTTGAGGTTGGTTCCTTTTTTTTTAATTTCTTAATTTACAGAGGCATACCTTAATGTTTAAAAGACTGGAAGCTTGTGCTTTTCTTTAGGGTTGCTCATTGGACTTTTCATATCTTCTCAACAAGGAAAATGCAAACAAGTTGTATATGCCTAACATAAAATAACGTTAGAAACAGATAATCCCTTAGTGTTTATACTTGTGCCAAATTCCTAAGGTATGATACTGTAACAACAAACCACATCAGACTAAATGCAATCAATTTTACAAGCATACCTTATGGAATACTTGAGTAAACCATACATGTGTTGAATAGTGTTTGTTTTGCAGATGTTCCTGTTTGTGCATTCATAGTTACAGGCTTCCCATCTGAACTTATCCATTCTACTAAAATTTTGGCAGCAGCTCCAACGGCAATGTCACACAGACTGGTACTTGCTGTATGTGTGTAGTGCCTCTAAGAATAACAAATAATACTAAACAAACCTGTAACTGCAATGCTAATGAGTAAGATTTCCTCACTTAGCTATATATTCTTTGTTGACATACAAAATTAGAACTAGCAATTGCACCCCAATTCCCTGGTTGCATTCAAACAGTGATCTGACACAAATGGAGTGCTACTCAGAAGGGTTAAAAAAAACCAAACAAACATTTAGGTATATTTTTAACAGTTGTTCAGCAGCACTAAATCTAGACTGAAACACTAGGTTGGCTTAGGATTTTGTGATAAGAAGTAAGGTTGTTTATATGCCCTAAGAACAAATTCTGCTATTCTAGCATAGCAAGGTTTCTGGAGTATCAACTGATTTCCCAGTATCTACCACTTCAGCCTTGATACGGGAATATAAAGCAGTTCAACCAAACTATCTGTGTTGCCCAAAACCCTGATGGACCCTATTTGCCTTTTAGCTACATACGGATGAGATGACTGTGGTTAAAAATGTAAAAGGATCAACAAGCTAAATAGCATGGTGCCAGGGTGAGAAGTAATCATCAAACTTTCACATACATTGATGCACTGTCTAAAGACGTGACAATTGAAACAGTGTGAGGTTTTTTTTTCCTAACCCCAAGCTTTTTTTCCATAAAAGAAAAATGGATTACTATCTTGACAACTGTTATACGGGGCCTTCTGGCTACAGAAGTAAATGACAGTCATTTACTGTGCTAGTTCTTTTCCAGTCTCCATTAATTTTTTTTGTTACACTTGAGCTGAAGCAGCTGAATGCAACTGCCACCTCACTGAGAAATGCATACCAGAGAAAAGCTCTACGCTTCTCAGTGACAATCCTCTAACTACTGTCTATATTGTTCCCCTTAAAACCATAATGTACACGAAAATGTCTTCACTCATATTTGTCCTGCTGAAACTTTCCCCCAGTTCCATCCTGCAAGTTATCAGTAAACAATCTATTTATTAATTATCCCTTGATAAGGCATGCTTTGGGCTCCAATGTGCTGTCTGTTCTACCTCCTTCCCATATCCAACTTGCAAAATCCTCGTAGTTAGCTGACACTTCTTGCTCTGAAATGCCTGAACATGACAAGTAAAATAAGAGCAATATGAACAAGTGCTGCTTGATATGCGGAATAAAGTTGGTAATTGCATTCATCATTTCTAATTATCTACCTATTAAGCTTGTCCAAGACGCTCATCTATCAACTAAGGGGCTCTTGGAAAGAAATCCTTTGTAATTATGAGGTCTATTTACTAGCTTTTATTCATTTGTGAGTTGCAAAGTTGTGAATGATTACTAATCCCACTTGGTAAACTTGTTTTGCTCCTATAGCTTTGTAGTATGGTGCAAAAATGTGATATTCAAATACATTTGCTCAAGGACTCAGGTAATGGTCTTGCAGACCAGACTGTATGCAGTTGTGTCCCTAGCGAATGCACAAGGTTAATAAATTAAACATGTAAAGTTGATCTTAATTCTGTTGTTCCACCTTGCAATCTCTTTGTATTTATTGTGATGTAGATGGAACATAAACACCCACAATGTTTTTTCAGTAGCTACATGTGTTGTTAAAAATGTGTTTCAAACAACTGGATTATTCCTCTTTCTTCCCCCATCACTTCTTCCTAAATTAAATTCCCATCTACTACACCTTCTTTTTCTCAGTCTTCTGCCAAGTATCATGAGTCTTTCATTATTTTTTGTATCCCACTTTTGCAGGATGGCATATTTTTTAGTTACTAAACTAAATGATTTAGAGGCATAAATACCAAGTAGCAGTTATTTAATTACTAGACACTGTGTACGTTTTTCTTCACTTCTCTGAAGAACCTTGGAAGCAAATCAAGGCCAAAGATGATGGTTCAGCTGAACAGAACATTTTCCAGGCTAAACACAGCTACTTGATCTTTAGAGCTTTGGTTTACAAAAATAAGGATGCTTCATTTATTCTTCTGAAAAATATCTATATTTGAGAATCTATGCTAAATGAATTGGGCGAGCCCAAAGGCAGCTGTGACAGATGTCACCAACAGGTGAGAGAAGCATGGGCAGATAAAGTTGAGTGATAAAGAATACATTTAGTTAAGAACTTTCCCATTATTTACCTTCAAAATTCACCAGAAATAACCTCGTATTTTGCTAGAAGTATTGCACTTTTGTTTTTTTAAATCATGGTAGAAGGGGCAGCAAAGTTGTGAGGAAGCAAATAATCTAAACTGTTGTGCTCTCGGAGCCGCAGAGGTTGCCGTAACTAATACTTGGGGGTGAGGGAGCACTAGAGGCTAAAAGACAGGAGAGAAAAACGAACTTCTTGGTCACGTCGCGATTCAGCGGTTTTCACATCAGTGAATAACTGCGTGAAAACGAGCAGCTCCTGCGCTGCCGTCACGCAACCGCTGAGCGAACTGCTGTGGAGAAACAGTGGAAAAACGGGCACGCCACCAACCCGCACCAGCTCGGCGTTCTACGTCTTGTTCTCGGCTGCTTTTGCTCCTACGGTCTCCGGTCGGGCGGCTGCGTTTCGCGGCTTCGCCTCAGACGTGCGATCCCCGCCCGACGAGGCGGAGGGGCGCGAGGCCGCGCTGCGGCGAGGCGCGCGGCCGGGTGTGAGGCCCGGCACATGGCAGCGGCACATGGCGCCCGGCCCCGCCCCGCGCGGCCCCGGCCCGGCCCCGCCCCGCGGCGGCGGGAGAACAGGCGCCGCTGTGGGGCTGCCCCGCGCTACCCGTCAGGCGCCGCGCGGCCACCCACCCCTCCCCGCGCGCCCGCCCTCCTTTCCCCGGCGGCGGCTGAGGTGGGGCGCCGCTGTTCGGCGATGTGAGGCGGCTTCGCCAACGCGGCCGTTCCCATCCCCCCGCCGGCCCGGCAGCCAGGAGCGGGGCGGCGCGCCGCGGCTCCTCCGGACGCGGAGCACGGTAAGCCGCTCCGCCCGCCGCTCTCGGCCCTCCCGCCTTCGGGCCGCGGGGAGCCTCGCCGCGCGGCGGGCGGGCGGGCGGGTGGGCAGGCCGCGGGGGGATTGTCGCCTGCGAGACCGACGCCATCTTGGGTCGGAGCGCGGCCTTGCGGCCTCCGGAGCGGGGCCCCGGGATGCGAGGGCTTCCTCGGGAGGCCCCGCTGGGAATCAAGGCCCTTTGCACGGGGGCCGCCTCCGCCAGGGTGTCCCAGGCCGGGCTCCTCCGTCTCGCGGGGCCGCGGCTGCCGGCGTTGTGCGGCGGGCCCGGGCCGGGCCTCCTCCCGCCCGCCGTGGCGCGCAGGCCTCGCCCGGAGCCCGACCCGCGGCCCTCGGCCGAGCTCCCGCGGCCTGCGACGCTGTCGGCGTTCGCCCGGCCCTCGGCCCGTGGCGGGAGCGACGCGGCGCGGGCGGAGCGGCTCCGGGCCGCCCTGGAGACCCGGCTGAATCCCGCCGCCTCGCGCCCATCGTGGCGCGGGGTGTGAACTCCTGACTTGTTTGCGGAGGCATTGCCCTTCCCTAGGCGGAGCTTACGGCATCGCGGGGCAGGGAGCGCGGCGCTGGTTGGGTTTGTTTGGCTTTTTTTTTTTTTTTTTTTTCTTTCTCCTGAGGGAAGTTAGTTTATGCTCGTAACTTTTTAAAACTTTTAGCTTTAGTTTTTGTTTCATTGTTGTTTCTTCGCTGCAGAAACAAGTGCGGCACCCAACAAAAATGCGGGTGCTTTCATTCCTCAGGATGCTGCAGATCTCATGCGCTTTTGCACCTAACATGGCACCAAGCTTATGCGAACTTGTGTGAGAGGTTACCTGGAAGTTTACGTGTAGGTGCTCATAATATCAGCCTCTGTTGTAAATAAAATCGTGATCCCTTTAATTTGAAGTGCGGCTATTAAACCAGAGGGTAATAAAAACAAACGTTGAATAATTCGTTGATAAGCAATATGGAGAGATGACAAACAGGGCTGGCTTGGAAGCTTTCTGACTAATCCAGACGCTCTCACTCTTCAAGCACACCACCAATTCCAGGCTGGTTGTTCAGTTTCAGGTGCTCTGAAAGCAATGTGAAGAAATATTGACTGTTGGAACTTTAGTAGCTGACCATAAGAGTGGAACAAGCATCTGAAGAAACACGGGCTTCCAGTAACTTTAAATCTTATTGCAGCTGTATTTGCCATGATTTTCTATAGCACTAATTTCTGTACATCTCTTAACACCTGCTTCAGCAGATTGCCTTCTGGTGTTGCCCATGGTTCCATGGGCTCATGGAACGGTTCATAAGAGGTGACACCAGTTGATATAACCTTCTGAAAGTCCAGGCTTATGTTATCGAATTTACATTTAAAAAAAAAAATCAGTCACATCATAACATCATAGTGTAACTGAGGTTATCACATGCTAGTGTAGTTTTTTTGGTATCTATTCTGTTTTTGTATAAACTATTTGTGCTCTCACATCCTCTGAGTACGTTTTATAACTGATTACTTTTTTCCTAAGGTGAAATAAAATTTATGAATTTATAAGATAAATTTAAGATAAACTTTCTTAAATAAAAATACCTCCTGCCTTCATATATATGTGTTAAGTTACATGAGCAATGGCTCTTAAAATGGTCTTTGCTTTTTGCCTTGAAGTTTGACAAACATCATCTCTCAGTAAGTAAAACAAAGGGCATCTATAGAGGAAGAGTTGGCTTTGATTCTCTTTTAAAACCTGGCACATGGCCCCTCTTGTTTCTGTAACGTGGAAATAGGCTTCACGCTCTCTTTTTTTTCCTCTAACAAGAACCTGGACTTGTGTCCTGTTTTCGTAGCACCTTGTGGAACTCCAGCACCTTAATTTGCAGAAGGAAGTAAGAGTATAGCTCTCCAATGTTAGATTACCTCCAAAACGTGGCATGCAACTTTAGCAGGCTTGTTCTTCACACTTCAGAGCAAATAGAGGCGGGATTTTGACTGCTTCTCTGATAAGCTGTCATAGACTTCCTGTCAGTCCATCACCCAATCTTGCAGTGCGTTCCTTCTGTCCTGAAGTTGTCTCATCTTATTAGATATTAGACGTTTTCTTACTGAATACATGCAGAATATTTTGGTTTAAATGCTGTTGAGAGATAATGAGGTATTCTTAGCTTTGAGTCATTGTATTTTCAAAAGAGAAAGTTGTATCAATGTTTAATATATATGTTGCTCTTGAAATATTTAGGGAAAAGAGAAGATCCTGGAAAGCTACAAGGAAAACTCTTGAATAAACACCCTTTACGTATTACAGGATTAATTATTCAGTTTAAGAAGTATAATTCATAAATTTAATCTTGATTTTGGTCGCCTTGTATATAAGGCTCGATAGTCTTCAATGAGATAATCATCCATAATCTTTATTTCTAAAACATCTGAGCTTGACTGAATGTGGGCAGTTGATAAATAGATAAACAGAATTAAGACTTCAGGGGTTAAGTTGAATCTTAACATTTTCTGAGAGTTTTGGTGTTTGGGCTCTAGACAGTCAAGGAAAAAGATCAGAGTTTGTGGTTCGTTTCCAAAATCAATGCCTAAATGAATAGTTTTTACCTTCACATAATTCCAGCTGCTTCTGGGCAGAAATTAGCTTGCAGCTATGGAAAATTGCAAGGCTTTCAATTAAGTGCTATGGGATCACAGACTTGTAGGGGTTAGAAGGGATCTCTGGAGTTACCTAGTCCAGCTCCCTGCAAAAGCAGGCTGCACAGGAAAGCATCCAGGTGGGTTCTGAGTATTTCCAGAGGAAACTCCACAACCTCTCCAAATGGTTTGTTCCAGTGCTGTGTCACCCTCAAAGAAGTTTGCTCATGTTTGTATGAGAATTCCTGTGTTCTAATTTAGGCGTGTTGCCTCTTGTCCTCTTGCTGGGTACCACTGAAAAGAGCTTGGCACCATCCATTGACTCCCACCCATTAGGTGTTTATAAGCATTGATAAGATGTCCTCTCAGTCTCCTCCAGCACAAACAGTTCCAGGACTCTCAGCCTTTTCTTGTATGGCAGGTGCTCCAGGCCCCTCATCATCTGTGTGTCTCAGCACTCCAGATGTGGCATCAGCAGAGCAGGGTAGTGGGAAGGACTGCCTCCCTTGATCTTCTGGCCATGTTCTTTTTAATGCTTCCCAGGATATCGTTGGTCATCTTGGTCATAAAAACACCATAAGGATGCACTGGTGGCTCATAGTCCATCTGTTGGCCATCAGTAAGCTCAGTTGGTCTCCACAGAGCTCATTTCCAGCAGATCAGCCCCGAAGCTGCACGGCTGCATTCAAGTTCACTGTTTTACTGTGGATCCTGATCCCGCCTGTTGCAGAGGCAGCCCTTTGGCTTTATGAAATGAAAACTAGTGTAATATCTTATTTCTTGTACTGTTCAGAAATGCTTTCAAGATTATGTAACAAGGGTGAGTTTTGAGCTTTTGTGTTTACATGCGTTTTGTTTTTTGGCTTAATATTTTTTAAAATATGTGAATAGAATACAGCTCCATCTAGGCTTTAAGTTATTCAGTTTTGCTATGTGTATTACATGTTTTGTCATGATAAGGGCATTCATATGACTTGTGAGTAATATAACTGTAATACAGGTGTTCTAAAGGATACCTTTTGCTGTAGTTTAGAAGCTTGCTCTTGTGGTTGCTTACATATATGATTCAAAAACAGTTTAAATGATATGGGAAATGTCTTGGGAATTTTCTGAAGTTTAATATCAAAGATGACGATTCAGAGTTGTCAGAAATCAGATGAACTGTTGATCTTTGGAGATCACTTAGGTCAGATCAGGTTGAACCTGTGTGGAATGTGCTGGGGAAAGAAGCTATTCTGTGGGGATCATTGGCAAGTACAGTAATTTTTGTTACTGAACAGCTGTCACGCTAAGTACTGAATGTTTTATTGAATATTGTTTTTAAATTAATTTATTTACTGTCTAGTCTCAAGATGGCAGAGTTGTTCATGGAATGTGAGGAAGAGGAGCTAGAACCATGGCAAAAGAGAGTGAAAGAAGTGGAGGAGGATGATGATGATGATGAACCGATCTTCATTGGGGAAATCTCAAGCTCAAAGCCAGCTAGTACATGTAAGATAACATTTTCCATAATTTGACAGATACTTTATAGTGTGAAACTTCAAACTTGCTTTGAATACAGAAATTGTAGCGTTAAGATTTAAGGAGTTCATCGTTTTAGAGCTGTTCATTAGTTTGTTGTCTTATACTGAAACTTGGAAATTTTAGTTCCTAAAATATGCCCTAAAATATGGGTTATGTGCAGCTGTCTGTACCAATAAGCTTAAATCTCTCAAGTAAAAACAAAGACACCTGAGGATTTTAGCATTGATAGTATGGTTAAAAGTCTAGTATAGACAACGCTGAAAGCATGCAGTTGTTCTTAACAGAGTTGATATTTAAGTAGACACCTCACCTCTCCCTGCTAAAGTAAATGCATGAATTCTAGTCTTCATGCAGCAGTTCCTCTTATTTTTCTCTGCTGTTCATTTTGTGTGTTTGAAGTCAGTCCGAATGTGTGGACATCATTCTGGTAACTGTCCAGGTGTGTATTAATAGAGGCATAATTGGGAAAAGCATATAATGTGAAAATAGTAGGAGCCTCTCTACTAAGTTAGAGGTTTCTACTAATAAACTCACCCACTCCCTATAAAATAAGAGATTTTTTCATCGAGTTCTGTAGTTTTCTCCGATTGCAGGTAGTACAGGGAATGAGTGTAGGTGGTTGTGGTGACGGCAGATGTATAAGGATTCAGTGTTTGTCCTGTGCTTGATCTTTGGCAGGTAAGTGAAGGAAAATACTTATTTTTGCTACTTCAATTGATTTTTAGGAATGACAAATTTTGATCCTGTGTGTGGCTTGTAGTCAGTTGTTAAGAAATTTTGCCTAAGCATTCTCTGATTATCAAATACACAAGACTGCCTGGTTTCATGCTGTCTGGTTTTGTTTCTGCTATGTTTTTATTTGAGATTGTCATACTCATTTTCTGAAGGTATATAGTTTATGGTAAAGAATCTCAAGGCAAGATGTTAAACTAGGCTCTTCCCCTCGCTCTGCTGTGTGGACTCTGGAGCTATTACTGGCTGTCATCTTGAATCATATTACTTTCATCTTGCATCTGAGCTCTATTTTACTTTGTTTCTTACTCACTGGGAATTATCTTTAATACTTCCTTACACTAGCTTAAAATTTTTGAAAATGGTGTTTTAAGTATTAAAGAAGTTGATATTAGAACTCACCTAAAAATAGTTATGAAGGGTTAGTGGTTTTGAATGCTTAAAAAGTAGTCTAGATCCTCTTGAAAATTTTGAAGAATATTTGAAATTTAGTCTAAGAATCTGTCTGCTGTAATAAGCTTCCAGAAGGATAGAAAAAATGCCCTTTACTGTAATGTTATGAGGTCTAAGACCTCTGGATTACTGTTGGTCGTTAGCATTAGATTGTGGAATTGGATGATTATTAATGTGCTAGACATATTAGAGCAACAAATATGCCAAGTTTCACTGCATATTTAAATGTTTTTTTCAAGTCATAAAGTACAGAAGCGTGTTGCAGGTGAGAATTATAATTTTCATACTATTGAGTAACTTCAAGAACTTTGGGTAAAGATAAGCTTGCAATGTATGCATCTTATTCTAGAGCTGTCCATACTCAGTCCTGACACAAGTAAAATCACTTACAGTATAACTTCTTACTTTCTCTTTTCCTCCCCTTTCCCAATTTTTCTCCTTGTAATCTTCTACTTCACTATCAAAAACAGCTATGGAAGAATGACCTCAGTTCTTTGGCTTGTAAGTAGTACTACCTGGCAGTAGTCAGGCTTCAGTTTGCAGAATCTTTATTAGTAATAGGCAAACCACAGCACTCAGCTTTTCTTACCACTGCTGTTTAGTTTTTATACAAGAAAACTCCTTCTGTTCAGATGGCAAATGGAGGCTTGCCTATTCCTAATTTTTCTGAAAGGTATGTTTTCTGCAATATATGGCCATCATTTTAACCTTCTGCCAACAGTGCTGTTATTGACTGTTACACAGACTAATGTGGAACATTAAAAGGAAATAGTTAAGGATCCCAGCTTTGACATGCTGGTACAATGTATGTTTGGTCAAGTGACTCCTTCCACTTTGGAGGATTAGTTGAGTGGGATGAAAAGTAATTCACGCTTTATAATGTTTCTTACAACTGTTCTTTTTTTTTTTTTTTTGCAGCTACTCTGTGTGTTTTTCTTGCTTACACTTTTATAATCATATAAACCTGTCTTTTGTTGCTACTTTAAAATGTTATTCTTCTGTTACTGTTTGATACTGTTTTATCTAAACAGGACAAATAATACTTACGTGGGAAGGAGAAGGAGCAAGTCTTTGATAAGTCAGTTGTCATGCAAGTTTAGTTTATAAATTGAAAGCACTGATTTTCTGAAGTGTTCTTTTTTTTAAACAGTGAATTCTGTCAGTATATTTTTAGGATATGAATTTTCAGTGCATCAGGCTGCCTGAAGCTGAAAATGTTTTGTGAACCATAACTTGTAGGATTTTACAATAGCTGTTTTTTTTAAATTTTCTTTATTCTGTTTTGATTTTTGTTGTTGTTGTTGTTGTTTTGTGAGGATAAACAGAGGCTTTTGTTTTGTTAGACTCTGGAATTTAAATATGTGGTATGGATTTGCTAACTGGAGAACATGTATTTTCATGTGAATCCCAAATTAAGCTAATCCTTGCTCATAGATGCTTGAAGTAAAAATAGTATAATTTTTGCAGAAGTAAATTTAGCATACCTTAAAAATGCTTGCTTGGATCTGTTGGTTGCAGCTGCTTTTTCAATATTATCTACGTGAGGGTAACAGGTTGAGAGCTGTGATCTGAGCTCTGCTGCCATTCGATTTATTTATCAGTCTGAGTACTATATGAACTTATCTGTGAAAACAGCCTTAAAGTGGTTAAGCACGACTTATAGATGTTCTAAGATCTCTTGCTTGAGATTCTGATGTAATTTGACCCTGGTTTGAGAGGGTACTTTTGATCTTGTTGATTTGGAGCTTTAACATATGCGTGTTTTCACACGTTTAAGCAAGAAACCTGGCAGCAACATGAAGTGAATTGGGAATCTGGTGGTAGAAGAATATTTTGATTTGGTGAATATTATTTTAACATTCTAGAATTAACCTAAAACCCCATGTGAAGATGGAGATAGCCGAGGAATATTGGTTAGGAGTAAGCATCAAATCTAAGAAACTTAACTTGTTTTCAAAAAATTAGAATTCTAGTAGTAGACTGCTATCTAGGATATGTCAGAAAATCACTCCACTCCAGTATGACTCCTGTGTCTTCTCTTTGATTTCCTTTGGTGCTGGAAACTGGAGTTTAGAAATTATTGTGAGAAAATGGTTCCTTTTCTCAGTTGTAGCATTTGGGGGACTTCTTACTATGCATGCTACAAAGAGAAGTGAATAAATGCATTTGTTGCAATCAGATGAGCTAAATATTAATGAAATGTTCATACTTTGTTTGCACTCTTATTTGTATGTTCATCTATCTCCAAGAAAATAAAACTGAGATTCTTAGGTAAACTAGTCAGCTTAAGAGAAGTAGAGGAGAATATATCTTAATTTGTACAAATGATGTTCTGTTTTGCCAGGTTTTTAAGTTAGAAATAATATTATAAGTCAAATCCTTATTGGCTTAATTTGTGGTTATGAATGCTTCTTTTAATTTGCAAAGAGATAAAGCTATTAATTTAACTGCAATTAAGTTAAATGTAACTTTTGACAGATATATTGAACAGAGTCAACTTCAGCTCATCACGAAGGCAGATACAGAATGGTGCACCCAGTAGAGGTATTATATTGTCCTCATATGGTAATTGAAAAAACGAACACACACAAAACCACAACTCTTAATGTAATATCTGGCCGCAAAAATTATATAATGTTAACTTTGGAATCCTTTGCAACAGGTACAATTACTTCATTCAAGTCTGACAGTCACCGTTATGCAACACCTGCCTCCAGTCCCAGTGCCATGCCTGTTTCATCCGTGTTTCAGTCTGTATCCAGATCTACTGCTAGCTCTGTAGCAGTTCAGCCATTGTCTAGACCAGTGAATGTTTCAGGATCTTCACAGACGCTGCAGAGACCAGTTGCTGGATGTTTATCAACACAGCAGATGACCCGATCAAGTTCTGGAATATCACAGCCTGTTAGCAGACCTGTAACCATTCCAGTCACGACACAGCCAGTATCAAGAAATATCACGGTTCCTCTAGTGGCCCAACCTGTATCCAGGCCAGTGACCTCTGTGACAACACAGCCTGTCATACTCAATCAGGTAAGTTTTTATTCCCTTAAACTTTAAAATAATCAGATGTGATTGTGAATAAATTGAGGAACGTACTGATTCACATAGTTAAATAATTTGAAGACCTTGATTAGACTTACAGACTAGCATTACATAAGCTGTAAAGATTGTAGAACCATCATATTGCACTAGTTAATGAAAATATATATTGATAATACTGATTTTACAAACTCTGAGTGTCAGCTGTGCTGCTTGGCTTGAGAATGATAGCTTTAGCTAGTAACAGCAGTATTACATTAAATGAAAATCTTAGCATTATATTAAATGAGATCAGTGGACAAAGAGAAGGCAACTGGTGTCATCTATCAGGAATTCTGAAAGGTTTTTGACATGGTCCTCCACCACATCCTTATCTCTAAACTGAAGAGTTATATATTTGAAGGGTGAACTATTCATTGCATAAGGAATCACTTAGAAGATGGCAGCCAGAGGCTTGTGGTCAGCGTGTCCACATGGAGGCTGATGGAGGTCCATCCTGGAACCTGCACTCTTTAACATCTTTATCAATCACATAGGTGATGGAATTGAGTTGCACCTTCAGCAGGTTTGCTGATGATACCGAGCTGAGTGGTGCAGTTGATATAGCAGAAAGAAGGGATGCCATCCAGCAGGATCTTGATAAATTCTAAAGGGCCCTTGTAAACCTGAAAAGATTCAACAAAGCATAGTCCTTGTGCTTGGGTCGAGGTAATCCCAGGTATGCATACAAACAGGGATAACTCCTTGAGAGTAAAATTACTGAAGGGGGACTTAAGATCCTGGATGATGGGAGACGCAACATGAGCCAGCAGTGTGCTCCTGCAGTCTGGAAAGCCAATGGTATCCTGGGTTCCACCAGATGAGAGGTGGCCAGCAGGGTGAGGGAGGTAATTGTCTCCCTCTGCTCTCGTGAAGCTCCAGCTTGAAGTACTGCATCCAGGTCTGGGACCTGGCAAAGAGAAGATATGGAGCATTTGGAGAGAGACCAAAAGAGGGCCACAGTGGTGATCCAAGGGCTGGAGCACCTTTGCTATGAAGGTTGGCTGAAGGAACTGGGTTTGTTCAGCCTGGAAAAGAGAAGTCTAGGGGGGGACCTCATTGAAGCATTCCAGTTTTTAAAGGGTGTTTGTAAACATGAGGAAAATCAACTTTTTACAGGAGATAGTGATAGGACAAGGGGGAACAGTTTTAAACTAAAGAGGGATTTAGATTAGATGTCAGGGGAACATTTTTTACTGAGTGGTGAGATGCTCTAATACATGTCGCAGAGAGATTGTGAATGTCCCATTCCTGGAGGTATTTAAGGCCATGTTGAATGGGGCCCTGGGCAATCTGATCAACTACTTGGTCTTGAGCTGGCAACCCAGGGGAGTTGGAACTTATCCTTGAGGTCCCTTGCATCCCAAATCGTTCTATGATTGTTAGTCATGCATCAGTGTTGTTTAGGTTATATAGAGAAATGATGGAAATTCTCATTCTCTAAATTTTACTGAGATACATTGAAATGAAATCTTCAACATTGATGAATTAATTTAATATTTCAGTAACTTCAGTGGCTTAAAGTAGTATTGCATATTTCCCACCAAATTTTTACAATCCTTCCTCTAGGGTTTTAGTGCTTAAGAGAATGCTGTGGTAGTAGCTGCTTAAGTGTTTTTCTTTTTGCTTTATTTAGCAGCTGTAGTGAGAAAGTAGTATGAGAACAAGGAAGCAAGTGATTAGAAGTTGCAGCATCAGTAGTTGAAATGCTGAATTCTTAAGATTTGTGCTAAATCATTGTGGAGGAGGGGAAGATGGATTATTAAGAAAAACAGTACAGTGGAATTGTTGCCTAGAGACTCTTGCTGGTTCATTAGGGAGCAACTCAGACTTTCCAATTTTCAGTCTTAAGCAGTTGATTGGAAATTTGCAGAGAGATATTTTGGGTCATGTCCAGTAAAACATGGTAGCTGAATCAGTATCTTGGTGTTTTTGAAAGCCTAAAATAATGTAATCAGATGCCCAGATATCCATGTTATACCTAGATTGTCTGTAGTTCTCTTTAATCTGTATTGTAAAGCAGACCAAATTAACACGGAAAGGTCTGCTGTTTTATGTAACGTGCTCAAATATTTAAAGTCTGTGAGTTTTCTTTTAATAAATATTTATTTATGCCATAGTATGCATGTTAACTCCTTTGAAATAGTGTTAAGATGTATTGCTGGATCTCTGCTACAGAAGATTGCTTCCTTCCATTTTTCCATCCCTCTTTTCCAGGGAAGTCCAGTATTGTACTTATTACATAGCATATGTATTCTGTGGTCTCTTAAGAAACTGGCACTGCTGAGTTCATCTCATGCTGTTTGGTTTCCTCACAGCCTTTACGTTTTGGTCATGGCTTTCATGAGCTATTTTAAGTTTATCCTAACTGTGTTCTTTGCATGGTACTGTTAGGAAGATTGTTCTGATGGTTTTGTTGGTTATTTTTTTTCCTTTCTTAAAACATACTGAAAGTGAGTCTTCCATGTCTTCAACTGAACTCTTCCAGATTTTGAATTAATTTTCAGCTTTATCTACAATAATTTCCCTTATCCTTTTATTGTTCTTGTCACTTCATTATAGTATACTTTTTTTCCTTTGAAGTGGGGGAAAGGTATGACGTGCCTCTTTTTTTTAGTGAGCTTCTTGGGCAAAGTTCTGTGATTTTTAATATCACTCCTGACACATTGTCATTTATTCTTCTTAGTGCTGTATGTATGCTGCCTGTATTTTGCTTCATGTCTTTAGTTTGAATTGTCTTCATTCAATAACTTTAGGCTTTTTGCATTTTTTTTTTCCCTTTTCCCTTTATTTCTCTCCAAATCACCACTATATCGATGGTTTTCTGCCTTGACCTTTCCTATTACATTTTCATTCCTGCATTTTCTATTCCTTCCCAACTTGATTCTTCCTTTTTGTATTCTTGTTACAGCGCTATTGTTAATTCAGTTTCAAAATGTTTTGAATTGAGTTTGGCTTCAGTGGTACCATCTATGCCAGTCCTAATGAATCCAGAGCTACTCCTATTGTATATGGTAGCATAAGCTTATTATCTTCTTTAAGATGCATTCGTTAAGAGTGATGAAGATTTTCTATAACTCAGTACTCAGAACGCTTTGCAGTAAGCCAACGCCACTTCTGTGCTTATCTCCCCTAACTGACTAGGCAGTTCCCCCAGTGTGAGCATGATTCAGGTTTCACTTCTCCCTAGTGAAATTTTGGGAGAGCAAAGATCTGATACCATGCATCATTCTAATTCTGTGTGGATTGGCTATTAATTAGCATGTTACTAATTAGCATGGTTCTGACAGGTAGGGAATCTAGCTGTGCACCTTAAATTTAGTTTTTTTGCTAGTCTTTTGGAAAATTGAGTGGTGGTATATAGTTTTGTTTTACTCACTTGAGCCCTGGCAACATCATTTATAAGAATACCGGTCTTAGACTTCCTGCACATGAGAACACCTGTGCAGGTTGGATTTTTTTCATTGATGTGGTAAAGCTGTTCTGTTATTCAGAACATTTTTGTTTTCTGAAGCATGAGATGATGTTTATTTTCACACACTTGGCTCTGTTGTCTTGCGTATAAAAACAAAGCATTTTAAACAAAAGGGGACATTTGAAGAATATCGTGACTGAATTTCCAGGATGTCAGCCTTTACTTCCTTCCTCCCCAGATGCAATCAGTACATAGTAGGGAGATGTACACATGCTGTCAACATTCCTGATCTTTTGGAGAAATGATAGCAGCTCTTCAAACAAAAAAAGCCCACACAAGGTAGTAAGAAAGGCACATTTTACTTTCATGCGCTGTACTGGTCATGTTTAAAGTGAGGGTGGTTCTGCAAAGTCTTCCACCAATTTAAGAGCTACCACAGGCTTACTAGCTGAAAAGAGGGGTTTACAGGATAAGCTGCTTTGCTTGTAATTTTGCTGTCTAGTATGAAGCCATCATGGATTCAGTAAAACCTGATGTGTTATGACCTGTGTAGTTTTTGCTCATAAAAAGTAGAGCAAAGATGTGTAGTAACTATTAATGTTCTTAGCATTATCCTGATTTCCACAGCTGCACTTGAACATTATGTTTAATTTGGTTACATTGGATTAGATCACTTACCAGAAAAAAGAATGGCTCTTCATTATCATTAAGGTCCTATAGTGTCTTCATTTAAGAGTTATACAATAAAAAGATGGGGATGGAGAGAAACACCTTTTGTTTATTAAATTCTTCTCTGGTGCTTAGGAGTCCTAAAACAGGTTATCACACCTGAATGCTGTATGTGTATTTGTGTATTGCTTGTGACTTGTTTCTGTCAGTCTTAGCATGGTAGTAGTTAAAAATGTAGCAACTTAAATGTGAAAATATCCCTTTGCATGCTTGCTTACTAGAGTGGGAAGCATTCTAAGGGACTGATCTTTACTGCATAAGGTGTTGTGGTCTTTTTTTCATGAATACGTTGATGACAAAACGCACGTATCATAGAATTGTGGAATGGGTTGGTTTGGAAGGGATGTGGAAGGTCCCTGTGTAGTTCTAGCCCCCTGCATGAGTGCTGGATAATCATTTTTTATGCATGTGCATTGGGTTTTTTTTCAAAGGACATGCAGCTAATCCTTTCTAGTTTTGTTTCAAGTACAGTTTGATGAGGTGCAACTACTTGTGTTACTCCAAAGTAGAAAGGTCAAGTGCTGACATAACTGCCATTCATACATTAATGTTGAAATTGAATGCAACTCTATCGTAAGGTTTCTCTTAATGCGCTACTACCATTACTGAAAATATTTCACGTTCCAGATTTGGTTAGTATGAATGGCCTATTGAGATGTGAGCAACACTGATGAATTCTGGGAAGTGTTCTTCACCGACTTTACCCTCTAGCATTAAATATTAGTAAGGATAAGTAACTTTCATGGTTCTTTCATGTTTCTTCGAGCAGTACTTAGTAAGTGGTCATGGAGGTTGTTCAGTTTTAATAGTTTTCAGCGTTGCAGCTGAGAAATGAAGACTACTTCATTTTTTAAATAATGGGTCTTGCTAAAGGACAAACCTGTTAAACTGAAGGGTAGAAGGGTATCTACTTGCAGGTGCTCAAAAGCTTCAACATGCTGAGAAACATGAATCTACTTTTGCATTAGCTGTGCTTTGAAAATCGTTTTGGACTGTATTATTACAAAAAGCCCTTTTGAAATTATTTTATGTTAAAGAAAAAGGCAAACCATAGTGATATCATGAATTTGAGTGCCGCTCACAGTCAGTGTGCTGTAGGTATTAATGGCTTTCATTAAAGCTTGGTCTTGTGCAGAATTGGACCAGTGTCATCTTTGAGAAACTTCTGTTCCCAGCAAGTTTGTTCACCCAAGTTCTGATTTCAGATCTTTTGAAATACAAGTAGCTATTACACAGGAGTGAAAGAGTAGAAGATAAATGTCTGGGTTTGTGTTGAAGGAAGAAACCGCTATAGTTTTCTTAGAAAAACAATTAAGTACAATTTGAAATGTCACAATACTTGTGCAAAAGCAGGTACCATTAGCAATCTGCATAGTTTGAGTTGTGTTTCATAAAATGTTCTTTCTTGGGTCTTATGGCTGTTTTTTTGGAGATACAGCTATGAGTAATTTAACAAGCACTGGTAAGAATTGCATACTTCTTAAAATGTCAAAATAAACTATTTTGGGGACATTGTAATTAACTTGATTTACAGATGAGTACTTATGAGTACTTGTAAGCAATCATATGTTTTTAAGAATAAACCCTTTAAAGCCTGAAATTAAAAAAATGTTAAATCTCAAATTTCTTTTCCTTCTTGAAAATATCTTACTAGGATTATATTATGGATTCTCCATCAGATGCACCAGATAATACATCTGGTATACTGTTTGGTGTGAGACAGAGCTCGGGAGTTCCTCAGTACCAGACTGAGCCAACAGTGAGTCTAACAGGTGGGTATAATTGTAGAAGTCAATAGAAGAAAGAAACAAAGTAATGGCATTTAACTGTGGTGCAGATCTTTGGGCTGTAATTTTAAATAAAGTTTTTAAAATATAAAAGTCTAAAACTTTTTTCTTTCCCTATATTTACACTGTGACTATATAATGCTTAATGAAATAAACCTCAGAACTTTGTGTTGTCAGACTTGGCTTTTTATTGCTTTAGACTGAATTATTGTGTAATGTTCATTTAGGTTAAAAAAAAAAAAATACTGCCAGATCCACTGTAATCTTCTTGACAGATTAAGGCTCATTTTCTTTATATCAAACACTCTTCGGCTAACATGACTTGGAATGGCTGTTAGCAAGAGAGGGGCTGTGGAACAGTGCCAGAAGAACTTCCTGTGTTGTCTGAGTGGATTCCCAGTGATGATTATCTTGGTTTCCTGACTGCTATGTATAGCACTTTTAGTAAATGGGATCAAAAGGATCCTGTGTAGAAAGGGAAAAGGAAAGAATATCGTTTGGCAGCAATTTTTTTTTTTTCAGCTAGCTAAGCTGTATTTCAACAGGAACTATTTTACCTACTTAAAAACAAAACAAACCACTTTTTTGTCATAGCAGATGGAAGCATGTAGTATCTTCAATCGTAAACACACTGTAATTTGAAATTTCCCCCTTTTTTTGTGAAGGATTGCACTTTTCTAATAACTGACCATAATCCTATCAGTAAGTTATAGATTAAAAAAAATATATATATTCTGGTTTGTATTTAAGGTAATGGGCTATGTGAAGTGAATGGCCTAACAGTCATAATAGAAGTAACATAAACCCAGTTTTAGCTTGCTAGTCTCTTCTGCTTGATATGATAATTTTTTGTGTGTCTAGTTTATGTATTTACTGCAGCTACTCATCAGTGAAAGGCAGTATATTTCTTTGCATGTGTCCAGCTAATCTGTGATCTGATTCTTCTCTTAGTGGAACAAATAGCTTTTTCTAATGTAAGCAAGGGTTTTATTTATTGCACATGGTTTGGTATTCAACTCCTGTTCTTCAAAGCACAGGTATTATTATAGTTATAATTTTCTAATTTAGGAAACTTGCATATTTAATAATTATGTATGTTTGGCTCTTATCCAGAAAAATGAAGCACTTAAAGGCATCAAGGATTGTAATTCATTGTGTTTTAAATATACCATACTTAGTATCTGTCTACTTCACTAAGATACACACACAATTTAGAAATTGAAAGGTTTACAATTCCTGTTTCAACTTTAATTGAATGTCTTATGCTCCTTTATGACACTGAAGGCTAATGTAACACATAGATAATTCTAAATATTGCATTCAGTGATACAGTGTGTATTGCAATAGTCAAGTGTTTCATAATGGCTACAAAACATTTAGGAAAGTTTTCAGCAGTAGGGTGAAGTGAAGGTGTCTGACAGTTTTGGCTGTGTGGTCTGTTGCATTGAACAAACTAGTCTGAAGCGTCAGTGATACCAGGAATTTCTGTTTCAGTTTACCAGACCGGAGCCACCTTAAGATGACAATCAAAACAAGAGCTGTTTTATACCAGTTAGATACTAAATAATACTTAAAATAATTTTTGTTTATTTTTCAAAAACTCCTTAAAATAGGTGGTTTTTTAAATGAATGAACAGCAGAACTCAAACGCAAATGGATCTATGATCTCCTAGTATGGTTGTAACTTTTTTGAAAGAGGGAATTTATTAGGTCAGAGGTGTATAAATCAAGGTAAGAATGTTTACTTTATAGCTTACTATATAAAATAATCTTCAGAAGATTTTAAGTGTCACAGATAGGTGAAGGTTTTGGGTTTTTTTTTTGGTAACAGGAATTATAACTAATTTTGTTAATATGTAAGAATTTCTTTTCTTTTGAAATCAGGGTTTCTGTAGTAAACTAAAGTATTTTACTGAAGATTCTTGAAAAAACCTTCTGTCTTACCCCTGTCCCTTACTACCTAGCTATACATAATTAAATATATAGCATTCATGACTGATGTGGGTTGGTGGCCTTGTGCTGAGGTAGATTCAGCAATGCAGAAGAATGCAGAAGTTGTAACAGCTGTATGAAAGCTTTTTGCGATCAAGTATAAGAAGAAAATTATAACAAGTGAGTACATATGAGGCATAATGTGATAAATCTCCGGATGCTCAAATATCAACCTTTCCTGCTGGGAATCTGCCTCAGAGGACTGGACAGGGATACAGTTTGCTTGGTGTAGATAGAACTTTCTCAATGATCAGAGATAACTTGTTACATAAAAGTATTCCAATATTTAAGATAACAACAAGTTATCTCTGATCATTGAGAAAGTTCTTAAAGATAATAGTTCAGCTCCTAATTACAACCAGAGAAGTTATTGGAACAATTAGACAGATGGGAGTGGAGATCAGTGTCTTGGACTAGTTTTCTGCAAGTGCATACCTTATCATGCATAGTGTTAAGGCTGTGTGCAGCCTATGATTGTGGGATGCTGACAAACAAGACCTATGCTGTTACCTCAGATGTGCTGACGTGGTGTTTCAGGTTTGCTTAGAGATTGATCACTGTATCAAGATAATGTCAACTGAGTCCCCAGGATGATCTTATAGTAATGGAGGTGCTGGTTTCAGGACAAGAAGTCAAATACTTAAGGGCCAGGTTATTAGGCATTAGACCTCTGCATTTTTAGAACTATTTTTAGGGACTATTTTCTCAGAAATACTGCAAACAATCAGTGAATTGATTTTATTTTCGGAAATGGGCAAATACTGTGATCACTTGCTGGAAATAATACTGTTTACATCTTAGGTATTATTTTATGTACAAAATAAAATCTCACATGTTTTACAGAGTTAAATTAAATTAGCTTAAACAGAACTGTTCATCAGAGACCTTTCCATCAGAACAGCCTAAGTCATTCCAAACAGCGGGCACTGCAGAAAACAGCTGGTTAGTTCTAACTTTATTACTGTGAACTTATCTGAGATTAGCTTGAGTGAGGATGTAAACAGCAGGCCGGAGAAGTTCAACTGAACATAATATGGTCTGTGAGCTCAGGGGTGGGGCCATATATCTTGGCTTTTGTCCTTTTCTCAGCTGGCTTGAGAAAATTGAGTTGGATATAATTTTGTTTACTACTGTATGGTTTATTGTGTTAGGGAGATCTTAACTGCTGTATTGCTTTGAGTGGGATGCAAGACAAAAACACCTGTGTGCATTCCTCCTAAGTTCTGTGATCCTGCTACTTGGGCTAACTATTGCCAAGTGTTTTTTGCAGTTTCCACCCTTCTTTTGCATTGATTGTTTTTGATACAGTTTAAATACTAATAGAAAGGGAGGAGGAGAATTAAAGTTTCAGCTCACTCTTTGAATAACTTTCCTTTCAAGAAAAGAAGTAGTGTGGCTGTCTCAGTATATTAATTATCAAGCATTTTTCCTTCTTAGCCAAAAAGTGCTTTCCAGCTGATCATAAAAGATCAGGATTTATTCTCAACTTTGAGGTATTTCCAGCCGCGCATTTTCTCCTGTAATACTGAAATGAGAATCTACCTACAGAGTGATTCTATTGTATGGAATCATCTCATATTTGTTTTTACATGTCTTATTTGCAGCTGTTCTACTGTCAGACTCTTTCCCAGCAAACAGCAGAGAGTGGCTATAAGATGAAATATTGATGGAAATGTTTCCTCTTCTCTGCGTTAGGTAAAACAGTGCATTGCAGCCTAAAATGTACAAAAGATAACCAGAGGTTCTTGTCTGTGTTTAGGAACGAAGAACTACATCATACTTACTGAGAACCTGATTTTTATGAGTTTTTCTCTTAGAAGTTCCATAATTGCAGGCAAATGTGATGTGCCTCAGAACTGAGGCACTACAGAACACTAGATTAGCTGTAGAGCTTTCCAACTTAGTTTGCCCTCAGCAGACTTGTCAAAGTGTTTTACAAACTTTAATATTAAGGACTATAGCATTGCTATTGTACATCTCTTGCACGGTCATCCACTCGTGTGAAGGATTACCTGCTTAATTATGATTTTTAGCAGTAACGTTATGCTCTTGGAGAAATACTGCTTGGTCCATATCTAGTGTGTGGACTGCAATATTATTTTTCTGACAAGATGTATAAGGCTGTTGCGTAATCATCTCTTAACCTGTATTTATATCCTTGCTATAAGGTGAATGTATCTGTGTGTTTTATAGCCTTGCATAGTATATCTGACCCTGAAGTTGAGATATTATTTGAAACTTTTTTTTAGTTCAATCAGATTTAACCTGCTTAGTTTGAATGGAGTCGTCCAGATCTGTGAATGACTTGTACGTGCAAGAGAACTTCATCTGGAAAAGTAGCTCTCACTGGTGCTTTTTTTGCACTTTGGAGAGAACTGGAAGATTGGGTTTACTCATTAGCGTTAAAGATAATGAGACAGTTTTTGGTTTTATTTCTGTTTTAATCTGTGTGAAAGGTATTAATTTACTCTGATAAGAACACTATTCTTTACTTCCATCCATTCCTGGGAGTAGTTATTTACAGGATTTGTTCTCCAAAGACACATTTGTTCAAAAGGAGTGATGCATCTGAATAGGCATAGGTTACAGCTACTGCCAGAGAGAAATAGGCTCATTATTGAGGACCAGGTGGTGAAATTACTTTCAAAAACAGTTCTCTTATCCCTGCATGATGATGAGAAGGTCCTGGCACAGAAGTAGTTCTGTGTGCTTCTTCAAGAATTTAAAGCTCTTAAAAACATCACAAAATCTGTCTCATTTTGGGGGTAAGTGGAAAGGACAGAATTAATGCTTTATCATGTTCCCGTCACCACCCATTTTTCTGTGATTATTAAGATTTTGTACAAGTGTATGATGAGCAGAACAAACTGAAGTTGATTTTGGGCGAAAGAATTTTAGTTAAAAAATGGTAGTAAAATGTTGCATATGGTCGCTCCTGTCACCTCAGTTGCAGTTTCATTTCAAATAGTATGTTTTGCTAGAATAATAACTAACATATCAGTTATTCTGATTGCAAATTCTGACCTTTATATGTGTTTTACAGATACAAATACTGCAGCAAGCAACATTAAGAATGGAGGGCCATTTCCACGAGCTTGTCCGAAGTGCAATATTCATTTCAATCTTATGGATCCTCTAAAAAATCATATGAAGGTAAAATAATTTGAGGATGATGAACATTATAAAATGAAGTAGGCTTCTGGTCATTCTGAAAAATGTTTCAGTTTGTAGATAGTCTGGCTTCTGTCTTTGATTAGATGGGGCTAAAGTATTGTGAAGTCAGAGAGATAAAGAATGGTGATGTAGATCCCTAAGTCTTGTTACTTTGGGCATTATTTTTTCTAATGAAATGAGGCATATATGCTGCCTCTGTGAGTTCTCTCTCACAGCTGTGACTTTTTGAACATTTGGCCAGATAACAAGTGAATTTGAAAGTAATTGTCTATAGTAGCAATGCAAGTTGGCCCACTAGTGCTGCTACTGGCAGCCTGTTGACCCACATCTGTGGTAGGTGACTACTACGGCAAAGATAATCTTATAAATTAAACTTTTTTTCCTTTATATATCATACGGGAACTTAAAAAGGCTTCTGAGGGGAAAACGTTAATTTGTAATTCATCCTTAAAGTGATAAACAAGGCTTTCATAAATTATGCATCTGTTACTCTTTATGAAACCTACTTGTCGTTGTTTCTAGAAACATTATTTCCTAGAAAATGCTTTTTTTTTATATAATTTGGCAGAGATTAGCACAGTTCTCAGGCATCTATTCCATTTCAGAGAGAACAGAAATGTCTTTGCATACAGTGATTAAGTCATGTAAAAAGCTGTATGAATTACTTTGGAATAGAAGTTCTTGGTGCTCTCAATTGCTGTTAACACAAATTGTTGTAGTTTGAAGGATTGAAGATAAATGATAGCTAGTGTCCTATTTAACTTCAAAACACAATTAAGAAATGTACAATTAAGAAATGTTATCTTTCTCTAATCATTTTTTGTAAAGAATTGCTTTTGCAGTTGGTACTTTAAATGAATGAACGAGCCATGGATGACAAACATCTTTTTTTTTTTTTAATTTAATTCCTATTTACAAAAATTGTGCTGTCTTTGATTTCTGCAGCAGAAAATGAACAGCTCACTGTTACAGAAGGTAGTAATGCACAGTAAGACCTGTTTCCCAGCGGGAGATGAGCGTTCTGGTTTTATTCACGGTTACAAACTTGATAGCATGAAGTATCTCATATAGGATATGCTTTTAAAGCATTAAGCTTTGTAGTACTGCTATTGGGTTAAGCATTCATTGTCTGCTCTTTCAGGTGAATAAGAATGACGTGTCGTCTGTGTGACCTCGAATTTCTAAATTTTTCAGTAAAGCTGAAAAAAAACCTTGCAATTCTCAACAAATGTCCTCCCTAAGGAAGTAAAAGAAAATTCTGTATGAAGTCCTCAATAAACTTGTGCTTGTCAGTAAAATACTGATAAGAGTTGCTTTTCTTTCTTGTTTTTAAATTTTAGAAAGTAGACATTTGTCTAATGAGTAAGGCACCACTAGGCAACACTGACATTCTGATTAGAACTGGAAACTTATTTACATGAAACTATGAGAATATTCATATTCAGTGTTAAAAGTACTTTGTATTTTATTACTTAAACGCTACTGAAAGATCAGTTCAGAGTTAAATATGCATATGTGAGTATGACTTTGAGTCAGTGTGTCACAGAACTGAAAAGCTTTGCATGTAGCTCTAATTAGCAGGTAGTTTCAGTTTTAAGATGCTGTTTTCATTGATGGAGTTTGTTAAGGGAGTCTTATACCTTTTGTCTCTGTCTCTTCTATCCCTTTCCATCTAGTATTGTTGTCCAGATCTGGTTAATGACTTTTTTCTGGGCGTGGTCCAAATGGAATGTTCTACTACAACAAGCAAGACTACTGAATATGAGAAAGGAAAATTGATTATGTTAGTTAATGATTTCTATTATGGGAAACATGAAGGTGATACCCAACAGGTACAACAGGAGCAGAAGACTCATACAACATTTAAGTGCTTCAGCTGTCTGAAAGTTCTTAAAAATAATATAAGGTATTTGAACTCACTTCCTTAATGTTTTAATGATTTACAGCCCATGTCAGTAGATGTCATGCATTTGAAATTTGTCTATTTAGAATAGGAAGGATTTGTTTTTTGTGTCTTGCAAATAATTAATGCTGGATTATTGAACAGAAATTGAATTATTTTTTACTATGTGTGTTTATCTGTAGCTTTAACTTATTTACAGATTAGAGAACAAATTTTAGAGGCGTCTAATGGAAATAGTGTAGCTCTAATGAGAGCAGTGATAGCACTTAGAGGTTGGAAAAGGCAACAACAAAGTATTCTACAATTTACCATCCTGATTGATGGTGGTGTCAGTAGATGTGAGTGTTGTTTCTCTTTAGGGATTCACAGTGACTAATAGTTGGTCGTTTGCTTATGTAACAACTGTTATTTTGATGGAGTAATTTTACTTCCAAGTGCTACAAAAAGCTTCAGTAAGCTGTTTTAATAGGTAGACCAATCCATGTCATTGTTCATTTGGAAGTTAAGGTCATTCTCTTTTTTCATGTGCATTCTTTAGGGGAAGCTGAAGTAGCAGAACATAAAACTGAAAAATGGACTATTCTTTCAAGGGCATAGTCTGCAAGTCAAACTGAACAGCCTTATGCTAACATCAAATCCATGTTTTTGAACAAAAGTTTCTTTAAATTCTGAACACTAAACTTGCTCTTAATTATTAAGTATCTATATAAGTGAAAGTGCCAATATTCCATATTTAAGCAGAGTTTACTTTTCTCCATATGAAATACCTATTTTTGTTACTTAAGAATTAGTATCCCAAGGTATTTTCTATACTTTAAACTATTTATTATGGTGGACAAAAGAAATACATATATTCTCTCTAATTCCAGTAGAAATTTTTTGGACCTTTGTTCTCAAAATGAAACACATTCAAGATAGAGTGATTTATGAAGTCAGCAGTAGTGGGTTATGTAGCTAACCTGTTCTTGTGACAACTTACTGTTCCACAAATGTCTGACCTGCCAACTTTGTGAGGAGTTCAGTTTAGACTTCTCAACCACGATAGATCCTTCTACAGGCAGATGGATATATTAACAAGGAAAATACAGTGTCATTCAGCAGTGAACTACCACCAAGTTTCTGGTAACCTTTTGGTTGTTATTTGCACAGTGGAATTTCTTGATAACTGTCTTTCATAAGTTCTCTTCAGACCTAAATACTTTAAAAAAAAAAAAAAAAAAAAAAAAGCTCTTGAAATACTCTTGCTTTTGTATGGAGGTGTTTCCAGATAAAGCTATGAATGTCCTACACGAAGATATGGTCTTAGTACTTATTAGCTTTCAGCAGAACTGCAGTTGTGCTTCACAGTGTGGATGTGAAAAAGCTGGTGGTGATGAGGTCTGAGTAGCTGGCATATTTTAAATGTTTATTCCTCGAATTTTTTCATATTGGAAAGTGCTTTCAGAACAGTGTTTCTAAGGTTCCTTTGTGTTTTGCATGTGATAAGTAATGCATATTGTCTGCGTACATCTTTTTTCACCTGTTCACTCTCATTTGAAGGTTTATGAACCACATGAAACATCATTTAGAGCTTGAGAAGCAGAGCAGTGAAAGCTGGGAAAGCCACACCACCTGCCAGCACTGTTACCGTCAGTTTCCCACCCCATTCCAGCTGCAGTGCCACATTGAAAGTACACACACACCTTATGAGTCTTCTAGTAAGTTGGGTTATATTGCACTGAACCTTTTTGTAACCTAAAATTTTAGGTATTTTTTGACTTTTTGACTCCAGACAATAATCTGGAGGGTTGTAAGCAAGACTTGGACAGTCATTCAGCTTCTGTCAGAGCAGTGTATCTGGAAAAAGTATTTTTTTTTTTAAGTTGGAAGGTATTCCTGTTTTGTTGTTTTATTGCAAACTTGATTTCAAGAGTTCATACTGTTGAAGGATCTCACATTCCTAAAGTTTCATCTGGCGAGCTGGAAGATCATTAGATTGTTTCCCCTTTTTAGATTTATGTGGTTCACATGTATGTATTATAATTGTTTGAATGATGACACCAAACTAACTTATGTTTTTTGCTTTTCACTTTTTCTAGCTATTTGTAAAATCTGTGAATTATCCTTTGAAACAGAACAGGTTCTTCTACAACATATGAAGGACAATCATAAGCCAGGTGAAATGCCATATGTTTGCCAGGTATTTCAGAATTTGTTTTGTATTTACATTACCAACCCCTCTCTGCCCACCCCCCAACACACACACCCCATCTGTTTTTACTTTCTATAAACTTTTAACAAGAAGTAAAATTTCTTATTTTAGGTATGCAACTACAGATCTTCAGCTTTTTCAGATGTAGAAACACATTTCAGAACAGTTCATGAAAACACAAAACATCTGCTATGTCCATTTTGCCTCAAAGTAATTAAAATCGGAGCACCGTATATGCATCATTACATGAGGCATCAGGTAAGCAGATGCTTTCGTAATGCTAGAAAAATACTAAATATCAAGAATCTCTTCCTAAGAAAAAGGTTTCTGAAAAAGCATAACTGATTTGTATGGTTGTTAATAGATAAAAAATAGTCAATAAAATATGAAGACCTAGAGCTGCTTGTTGTGAGAAGTTTTTAAGTGAGTTGTAAGACTGTTGTGTTTTTATGACGGGAGTTTCCTGCTTAAAAATCTCTGCATATTCTTTAAAAAATCTTTCTTCATTAGGTCATTGCCAAATGTTCTGCTTTATTTTTAAAGTTTACCAGAATGGCCGTCACAGATTCAAGTAAAGAAAAGATTGTGAATTACCATGCTGTCTTACTGTAACTGGTAACCTGATTCCTTCTTGATAGCAACACTGCTTCACATCTGTACAGAGTGTCTTGTGTAATATTAAGAGTTTGGCAGGTTAATCTTTACAAGTGGAATAGCCGTTCTTTGAGACAGAATAGGGTTAGAATTCTGTTTTCTGTGACATTCCTGCTTACTCTACACTGGCTTCTTTTTTTTTTTTTTCCAAGAAAAAAGGAGTATACCGTTGCACTAAGTGTAGACTGCAGTTTTTGACTTGCAAAGAAAAAATGGATCACAAGACTCAGCATCACCGAACATTCAGAAAGCCTAAACAGTTGGAAGGATTGCCTCCTGGAACAAAGGTAAATGAAGAATAATAGAGGGAGCAAATAGGAGAAAAAAAAAAAAAAAAAAAAAGTATTGGCAGAGATGGAATGGAAAGAGTACTTCTCTCCTTTCTTTTTCGCAGCAAAGAAATTTTTGTTACCTCTAAAACAAAAAACTCATTTCCTCTTAAAAGAAGGGCTAGCGACAGTTCACAGCTTCCACCAGTTGGTCTGTATCGTTGCCCTGTCCCATGCCATTCGTGCATGTGCTGGTAGTGCAGTCAGTAATACCTTCTTGAGCTGTCTGCTAATTTGTCCCTTTCCATTTATTATTTCTTGTGTTAGGAGAAAAACAGATAATGTGGATGTTGATCTGCGTTGTTGTCATAATTTCTTATGTAAGACTTCCAATATGTAGAAGGTAGTAGCAAAATGCAGGTGGAGTGCAAGATGATTTTTCCATAGGCATTATTCACTTATAACTGGGTATACAATGTCTTTTTATCTTCTGCATTTCAAGGAGTGAGGAGAACAACCCAACAGTGTGTTGTGATGTAAACTTGGTTCCACTTAAAATATTTAGTGTTGAGTCCATGTCTTGAAAAGGAACAAATTGCCTGTAGATTTCAGAACTTTCTTACAGCCTTTTAATTAATTGTGAAGATTTATTGCCTTTCACTTGAAGTGAATAATAAAATGAACATTTTAATTAACTACTTACAGTTAATTTCCTCTAAAATCACTGTCTTATATTTTGTAAGGAAAATGACTGAAGTTGAAGTTGTGTTGCTTGGTAGTGATTCTGGATTATTGATGTCACTTCAGTATTTTAGAAGATTCAGAGTATTTGTAATAAGTAAAAGCTTAACTTACTTTGTGTTAAAGTTTTGGTGTTAGGGGACCTTGAAAGAGTGTAGATGATAAAACTGAAGAGCCTGGAACAAGACTTAAAAAGCTGAGCTACTTCTAAGCTGTAAGTAGGGGCAAGAAGTATAATTCAGAAGCCAAAATTTGTCCTTGAAGGTCTAGGATGAAGAGCAAAAATTATCTGAAGTAGCTTGACTAATCACGAGGCAACAATACAGAGTTTTAGTTTAATCCAGGAACTGATTTGTTTGGTATTCTTCTGAGCAGGGCTAATTGATCTGACCCGTCTGTCTCTTATCCACAGCTACTTTTTGTGGTTGATTATTGGCTTTAAGAGTAGGATATAGGCAGTTGCAGGTCTGAAGAGAGAATGGTGGTTTTTTGTCGTTGCTAATTATTTCCACCAAAACAGGAGCTTTTTAAGCATCTATAGACTACTGAGTTTAGGTTAACTCTAGTCAACAGTATTACATGTTTTTCAAAACTGTATTTACTGAGGAGGATTTTGTATGCTATGCAAGATAGTCACTTCTGTCCTGAAGCAACTAAAACTTTGAGAAAAACAGAAATGGGAACTTAAACAGCTTAAATCTAAATAGAAAAACTTTTGATTTTGTACTTGTAGGTTACTATTCGAGCATCTATTGGATCTCTTCAGTCAGGATCTTCAGTTAGCACAAGCACATCCACGTTTCAGTTATCACCTAAAGCAAAGAATACAACCGCTAGAAATCATAGCAGATCTAATTCAAATAAATCGAAAGCAAGATCAAAACCAACAACTGCATTGAAGAAGCAAAATGCATGGACCAACAACAGCAGCAAAAAAAAAAAGGTTACAAATACAGCATTGCATAATCTAAGGTAAAATATGAACATTAAAAATACACTGAAGTGTGCTTTGAATATAAGTATCCAATCATTTAATTATTTTTTAACAACTTACGATCCTGCAATATAGAATATTTGACAATTTTTGCAGAAGACGACTCAGACTTTCTATATATTGTGATTATAACTCTGCATTGTCTTTTTTCATAATTTTGTGGACTTGATGATGTAAGAACAGATGCTCTGGCAAGTTTCCTATTCTAAATTTAGATTTTTTTTCTCTGCGCAGAGCTCACAGTTATTGAAATATTGATGCACCAGGCAGATTTATGTTGAAAAGCAATCTGTGAATGGACTCTGACTTTTTTTTGCAAGCTTAATGGAGAGAAAAGTGTTTTTCTCCTTTAGTTTATAAAGTGCTATTTGAACCTGTTACTTGAAAGGTTAAAAGGTCTGGTTACCTCAATTTCGGGAATTATTAAAAGAGTCAATAAGATAAAAGCAAGTTGTGGGGAGAATGCTCTCCTTGTATTTACAGTTTAATAGTTTTCACAATTCCTTAATAATTCCATGGGTCTTTTATGGACTAGAATATAATTTTGTTGGTTAACATGCAGTAGCAATTCTCTGTTGTGTTGCGGGTGTCTCCCTTTCAGTAAGGTGCTAGCATTCAGAATTTAGCTGTTTGAAATGTCTAAAAATGACCAGCAAACTTAGAGCAGGATTATGATCCTCATCTGTAATTTTTTCAAAGCTTGCAGAGAATACTGGATGATGGGAAATCCGTATTTGCTTGTGCTCATTGTGTGAATGAAACATTTCTTTGAAATTCTTTTCAAGTACAGAAAGGCAGCAGCAGCAGCTGAAATTGGAGGGTCTCATCTGCAGTATCTTGTTTCCAGAAATGCTCAGTAACAGATGCTTACACTGACCTTAATAAAAAAAAAAAAAGTAGAAGCTGTAATGACAATAATTCAAGAAAAAGTAGACTTATGTCTACTGCTATAACCCATAATAAATATTTATCTGATACTTTTTTTTTCCCTCCAGTGTGGGCAAGCTTTTTACAGATGTAAAGCAAAAGGTTTGGAACAGTTATGTTGTCCTAAGGTACTGTTGTTAACTATTAACTTCTCCATATTATGTTAGGTGTCGTTTGGGAGCTCACAAATGCATTGAGTGTTACTCAGAAATAAAAGATTTTGCAAGTCATTTCCCTGCGTATGTCCATTGTAGCTTATGCAGATACAATACTAGCTGTAGCAAAGCCTATGTGAATCACATGATGAGGTAAGAATTCTATACAATTTTTTTTGAATTATCATATACTTTTAAAGTTCATATAGTTTGTATGAAGTGTGTGTATTAACACATTGTGACATGGTCTGACAGGGACATATACATGTTGGATTTTCACTTCTAATGAGGACCTAAACCCAGTATTCTTGTTGTGGTTTAAAAAACTAGGAGTTCAGGCAGCTTTCTCTTTTAGCTTCGCAATTTTTCAAATAGTGGGGTCTTTCATTGTCATTTCAGTTAGATTTAAGACCTCATATGTTTTGCAAAAATGCTGAATATATAAAGCCATAAAGCCACTGCTATCACTAATGAAATCCATGCTCAGAGTGCCCTGTAAAGGGTGTCTCAAATAGCATAATCAAATGGATACCACTTTGATCATCTGTGAAAATAGCAACATCTGATCTTGTCTGAGGTTTATTGCTGTAAGACAGTTCAGGATATTAGTGATGACAGATGTAAAAAAGCCTTTTAAGAAAACAGCATGCAAGTTTTCAGAGCAATGGGAGTGTTATATGCAATGTATGGACATAAATCTCTTGGCACTGAAGTTAAAAAATATTTTGAAAACCTACTTGTTAATCCTGTGCCTTTAAAAGGTCAAATGTGTTGTGGCAAAAAAAAAAAAAGAACAGAATGCAATTGTCTTTTTAAATATTTGTTTAAAATGCCTTGATGTTTTTGAAGTCTAGAATACTTAAATGTATGACTCATACACTTTTTTGTACATCTTCTGTGCATTCTCCTAGTCACATTAATGTCAGTGTTTTTGTATGAAATAGTTTACAAAATTCCATGCAGATAATCTGTGGGTTAACACAGGTTGCATGCTTAACAAATAATAAAATTATAATCATAGAAGAAAAGAGGCAGAACAGGAGAAGGGAATCTACTGTAAACTATTCCTGCTGTTGTCCATGCTCTGGCAGTTGTCCAGTTCAAACAACTAGTCTTTTGTCCTTTATCTCCTCAGTGCTCTGTCTTGACTGTCGCACTACTTAGACCTCTTGCAGCTATCACCACCTAACGAACAAGAAGTGGTGTGGAAGAAGGCTGTATGTTTTTGCTGTAGCAGCATCTGTATTTGATTGCTTGCTTTTTCTTTAATATTGGGAATATATTATGCTGGCACGTGCTTAACCTGCATGTGTGATAACTTGAAGTCAATTTTTAATGTCTCTTGAGGAAGTTTGTGTTGAGAAAACTTCTTCACCGTATAGCTTTCACTGTGTAACTTAAGCACGGTGCTTCAAGACCTAAATTGCTGATGGAAGCAAATTATGTTCATGCAATACTGTGCCAAAAAAAAATTGAAGTCTTGCCCCTCCCAAGCTCCCTACTAGAGAGCTCAAAAGTAGAAATGCTTGGTGTTCCTGAGGTTGTTTGTTTCTTCTGCTCTTCAGCACAGCGATGTGGAGTTTTCTTTTACCAGTGTTTTGAATTGGAGATGAGATTCACAAGCATGTACAATTTCATCAAATCAGTTTTTTAGAATAATGCAGGTCAGTAGTTGAATATTGTGTTTTCTTGCCTTGTCAAAAGCAAATTTCAGTACCGTGTGTAGTATGTAGGGAATATGTGGAGTAATATACTCAAGGAAGACAGATTAAATTATGGTGGTTTGTTTTTGTTTTTTAGTTTTCACAGTGCTCGCCCAAGTAAAAGATTTTGGATATACAAGAAGCATTCAGAAGAGCTACGGTAATTCTGCTTTCATTCGGTTGTAGATCATCTTTTTTGCTTTATGATAGTGATTTGATTGTTTAAAATAAATTAGAGCCTCTTGAATTTCTAGGCTTCCGCAAAGAGGTGAAAACGTTATGACTTCTACTAACAGTGTTCTCTTTTAGGACAAACTTTTTTTTTTGCCCACTTTTGTTGACTTCTTTCTCAGGGCTTCTTTTATAAATATTTCCATAGCTTTATTTTCCAATTATTCATAATGTGCAAGGTCTGAAAGAAGAGGGAGATGGAAAAAAACAAGAAACTCAAATTCTGTCTGTAGTACTATAGTACGTTTTTATAGTACTTTGTACTGTGTTCAGCATGGAGATGTCTTAATCAGTGACTGGAATTTCCATGTGCAATTCTTCTGTGAGTCACCTCATATAAAACTGCAAAAGCAGGGTTGTTTTTTTCTCTTTAGTCTGTCCAGTAGCTGTAGGTTAAAGCTGTTTTCACAGCCATATTGTGTTTACACATACTTTTTACTTTCTCTCCTCTAGAGGTGTGACTGTAGTATGTCTTAACTGTGATTTTCTGACTGATGGTTCTGGCTTAGATAGGATGGCCACACATCTGAGCGAAAGCCATGCTCATGCTTGTCAAGTTATTATAGAGAATGGTGAGTATGTGTAGTTGTTTTCTTCTTATGTAGTACACGTACAAGTACTCGCATGAGGGTGTCTGACTGTTACGATAGTCTTTTTCAATTACATTATAATGTCTGTGCATAGATTTGAAAGTGAGTACTTGTGTATTTCCACATTTTTTTTAAGTATTTTTAACTTGATCCTTTATTCTTATTTTCAGTTTCTGTAGATTTACCAACTGCTGATCAAGTATCTGAGTAAGTTTTGTTTTACCATTCAGTATTTCTTCTTTTCCTATTAATTCAGCAACAGATGGTCAAAAATTGTACTTTGAACTCAGATTTCTTCCAAATTCATTAGAACCAAAAATGTATGGAATGTACATTTAATATGTTTTTACTCTTGGCTATGTCCAGAATTGCAAGAAAGGGGAGATAACTTGCCTAGGTCATAAAACAAACAGTTCTTGCAGTATTAAAATTCCTCAGTCCTAACTGCTAAGCGTAGGCCTAGAGAGACTGTTATTTCAAGTTAGTTTTAATATTAGCAATATTAAATGGGTGCTTAATGTCCTTTACACAGTGTTGATATAAATACAAAAAGAAGGTAAAAACCTTTACTTGACATAGGATACATTATTTAGAAATTGTTTTCCAAGTAATGTCATTTATTTGACAAGAAGTATACTAATTAATGTCTAACTAATTTTCTAAATGCAAAGAAAAATTTGAAAAGGAAAAATAATATGGAAATTTTGGCTTTTGGTTTAAAGATTTGAAAAAGAACCTGCAATATTGCAGAGGCCACTTTTATAGTTTTGTTTTGTTTTTTTTTAATATTAGAAGACTCAAATATGCTAAACCTTTTCCCATTTATGCCAGAACAATATCTGAGACTTTACACTGTAGTTTGTAAACCTACTTATGCCTTAACTGAAGGTTCTGAGGTATGCCAGTTGAAACAAACGTTTGAGTTCTCTCTGAACCTCATTTGAAGGCAGGAATAAAGATGTCAATTATACTGCAAAGAAGGAAGTTTTCAGAAGGTGGAAGAATACAGTTTAACCCAGATTTGACAGCAGGATGTCATTGAACCCATGTAACCTGTAGCAGGATTCTAAAAGAGATTGGAGATTCTCATGCACAATGAGGACTTCAGCAGAGAGAGAGCAGTCTTCACTGGGTGTTGAAAGTATTACCAGTAGGTTATTTCTAATACAGTGAGAGGTGTCATGTTCTTGCCAGGTAGGTTGGAGTTAGATGACCTTAACAGGTCTTTTCCAACCCCAAGTGTTCTATGATTTCATTACTTTCTATTAATATTTATTACTTATAATATTGTTATATACTTGTCTATATAGTTGTCTTGTAACTTTAATTTTCTAATGATGTGGGCAGTAAGAGGACATGCTGGAATAATCTCTCAACTGATCCAAACATGGAAATATGTTTATTTGGTTATGAATAATAATAGCACAAAAAGTATGCTGCGAACTTCAAACCTCTAATAGTAACTGTTTAGCATTTGATGTAGTTGAATAGAACTTGTGATTTGATAAGATGAATAACAGACAGTATTAAGAAGAATTGAATTTATTTCTGTAAGGAGCAGATGGGAAGGATGTTAATTTGGGAAACCATTCCAAAAAAATATTTAAGAATGAATGAAATTTCTCTTCCTGGAGTACTGAATATTAAGATCTGACAAAATACTAGGAAAAGTCACTTAAGAGAGTGAGCTAGGTATTCCCTTTGTTAATCCAGGGCGGCTTACGTTCTTCAACTGTTTGGATTTCAGTGAAACTCAAACAATGGAAAAATAAGTGTTGAGCTGTGATACAACTTTAGTAGCTGGATGTGTATGTTTGGAATTCATATCTGCTGGATGGATTATACGTGAGGAAAGGTTACAGGTGTGTGGTGGGTACAGATGTGTATTTGTGGCAGGCTGTTGTCAGTACTGCACAAGTATCTTGTTATCTTGAAAATACTGCACAGAGAATGTTGGATATGCTAAGTATCTATTATACAGAAATGGATAAGCACTAAAGGGAGGTACAGTAAAGAGTATGTATAGGTTTGTTTCCACAAAGTGTTAGTGTCTTACATTAGGATAGTTGGGTATAGCCGTTATTTTTGAGAGCCCTGGTTTTGCTGTTAGATCATTTACTGGTTCCACATGAGGTGGTATAAGCTGTTATTAAAAACAACAAAAAAAAAAAAACAAAAAACAAACCTGCCATGTTGATAGACCTGGTTAATCTCATGAATCTTGTCCTTTTCCATGTAATATTTTGCTGATACTTGGGACAAGAATTTAATTGCTGAGTCTAATAGCGTAAGTGCCTCTATGTAGCAGACCTTGTATTCGTTATTTGCAGTACAGAGTACACACAAATATTTATCCTCATCGTGCTCTGTGTTTAGTTTTGCAAGAAGAGGTACCTGTAGACAGTGCTAACAACTTTCACCGTGTGGTTTCTCTGTGATATATGAATGTATCTTCTCATTCTTTGACCTGTAATTTGGTGAAGTGTGGGTAGCTTATGGATTTCTGCAACATTGGCCACAATGACTCACAATTAGACTCTTGAATGGTTTTGGATCTTCTCTTGCACCCTTCAGACCTTGGTGTCTTCTGTGGTCTATAGGACAGACTGTGTTATAAAAATCATCTTTATTGCTAATGACCAGACATGTTCTACAAGCTCTGTTCAGTGTTGATGAGACTTGTGTTAGGACCAAGATTCTGTCATTAGTAGTACAGATAATCTAGGTGGAGATGTTTGAGCAGGATTTTCTTTTGAAATTGCTCCTTTACAAAAGTTGCCTTGTTTTGTTGTTTGGTGATCCACCTTGTGCTGAGGGAATGAGCCTTGATAACTATTCCAGTACTCTTCTAATGCTCTACTCTCTGCTTTGCACAACATTAACATATTTTTAAATGAACTGACAGTAGACATTTTTGTTGCAGGGGAGTTGAAAGTGAGCAGGTATCCTATGCTGCTTTGGCTCACTGATACATCATTGTGGAGCAGCAAATTGAACCCAGTCGAGCTTGGGATTATTTTGGTATGTAAGCGAACAAGCATCTGACCAGACCTTTTCTTATTTCTTCATGCATTGAAGCTGTGGGGTATTCTCTTTTTACATCTTTTAGGCAGCAGGTCTGGTCTTTTCTCCATTACTGTAGTCTGGCAAAGGCTCTTCTGTGTTTTTGTTCTCTGCTTTGCAGCATTAATTTACAGCTTTTGGGGGCTATAATCCATGGAAGAGAGACTTATCAGTAGTTTCATTTATGTGATGTAGTGTTTCTTTGCTGCTCATTGTCCCCTCGAGTCTGTCAGTATCATTCAGAGCTAGAGTAGCGTATAAATGAGGGCATATACTTAATAGCACCAAAGCCCATTTTGTTCTGAACTTGATCTTGGCTTTTGAAAGTCAAGGGATTTGTCATTCTCTTTGGGTATTCACTAAAACATACAAATCCTTTTCTGTTTAATAATAAAGTTGCGTTTTTGTCTAGCAATGTCTTTACAGTGTATAGTGGTAAATGTGCTTTGGAAGATTCGTATCTCATGTAACTGCATACACTGAATCTTGGCCAAAGGAATTTGTTAGCTGTAATTTAATGGCTAAGCTTCCCTTTGCTCCTAAATACTACAGGAGGAAAGCATGTGATGGAAACAGATTTATTTGCTGAGCCTTGATTCTGAGAGTGCAGCAGCCACAGTTCATTCATACCTTGTTCTTTTGGTATCATCTCTCATCTTCGAAGATGCTCTACTCAAGCTGCAAAGACATCTGCCAATTTTGATTTCACTGCTTCTGATTTCATCTATAGTTCTAGATGATCTGTGGCAAGTTCATCCATCAACGAGATGTCTAAATATATGATGAGTTTTCATTTTGTCATGATGAACATCTAGTGTTCCTCCAGACTCAACCTCCTGCTTGCAGTGGATATATTTCTTGGTTGAACTTCACATTTACCAGCTTCCAAGTAACTTAATAGATAATCTTACTCTGTGGTCAGTTTTTATCTCTTCCTGGTTTTAAGAGATATGACGAACAATCTGATAAACACAAACTATTCTTGATTTGCCACTCTTGCTTTTTCTGCATAACCAAATTCTCCAAAGTTAATCTTTTTTGGCTGATATTTTTGTCCTGTTCCCTTTTCATGTAGAAACAGAAACAATTTTGATTGAGCTTTTGCAGCCACTGTGTTGTTGCTAGTAACAGCGAAGATCATGTCATCCATTGTCTTTGATGCATATTTTTGAATGAGCATCTACACAGTCAGTACTCTTAAGTCTTGTTCTTTTTGCTCCTTTTTATTCTGACATTGTGTTCCGTCTCGTGTGCTGTTGTTCAATTTCAATCATCAGCTATGTACTGTAAGTTTTTCTTACAGGACTTGTTTCTGTTTTGACACAATAGCAGTCAGTAAGTGGGATCACTTTTTCATTATGACCATGCTTTTGTAATTCAGAGGAAGATGAATCTGTGATATTTCACTTGCGTTCAGGTTTCTGTCAACAACCAAAATCAGAGTATGATGGCTTTGAAAATTTTTCTTTAAGAATTTACTGCAAGTTACACTGGACTGATACTTCACTTTTAAGTTAGATGATTTGGAAGATTATCACTTGGTTCTTTTACAGTTTTGCTATGGAAATTAGTTTTAAAAATGTCTAGTTAAAACACTTGTAGGTTTTCTACAGGTTTTCTAGACTTGTGTGAGGGTAGCAAAACAGTTTATGTAGAAACAAATCGTATCACGGCATCCTGTTTCTGTTTGCATTAAGTTTGGTGAAGTTACCTAAGTGAAAAACTTGCAATATAAAAACAGTACTAAATCATGTAGATAAACTTGCATGACTCATGCCTTACTATCCCTGATAGTTCTAATTGCTGCCAGCTTACATGAATAATGCAGCATATTGGACCATGTCCGCAAAGACAAAGCGTAGAAGTCTGACAAGAAAGTGAAAGTTTGTTTCAGGCTTTTGGGGTGATGAAAATATTTGTGACTGCTCAACTTTGTATGTAATCACACTTATTTATTCATAATTATAGTAAGTTAATTTGTAGCTGTTTCCATTGCTAACCTATTTTACAAGTGAGAAACTGGAGACTATCATGTAAGATGAATGTTACCATCTTTCCTTTTTCCATTCTTTCATTGCCAGGTTAAATGCCTTAGCATGGAAACACCTTTTTCTTCTAACTATGCATTCATCTGTACCATACCA